TGGCAGTCGGATGGGTCGCAGCCTCACCTGGTCAACATACAGTTCAGGTAACGTTTTCCAGCTTCTGTACAAGAGAAGTTAAAGTAAACCTGGAAAATGTACATTATCTTTAACTGGAAGGTGTTGTTAATTTTATTTGTGTGTGCTGCTGCTGACAGAACCTTACTCTTTTGCTTTGTCATTAATTCACTTTCTTTAATATGTGACCTGTGGAGTAAAGGAGGAGGACGACAGTGAAGATGTTGTGCATTTATGCTGATTATAAGTCAGACGAGAGCTACACCCCGAGTAAGATCTCGGTGCGAGTCGGCAACAACTTCCACAATCTTCAAGAAATCAGGGTAAAGCTTAGTGTATATATCTCAATAAAATAAATAATTAATAAAAATAATCTGGTTTTCATCCGGAGGTTTCAAAATCACTCAGACCCTCCTCTTCCTCGTCTTCCCCTCTGCAGCAGCTGGAGATGGTGGAGCCCAGTGGATGGATTCACATCTCTCTCATGAATCCAGTAAGAATTAATATTTTTCCAACCTTTAAATGCTGCATTTTACCAAAACAGGACTCTGTAACATCCTGCTCTGTGGTCTCTGTTTGCATTTCTGATTGTCTCTGGTCGACAGGGTGTAACTGAATGTAAAGCCTTCGGTCAGGGGACAGAATCCAGTCATTTACTCACTGTGGAACATTTGAAGGCTTACCATCTGTATAAACGTGTAGATGTAAATACTGACACCCAGCCACAGTGACTGAAAGACGGAGAGAGACATTTGTGCCCTTATTTTGCACTCTTTCCCATAATGGCCAAAGTCAGGGAACTAAAGTCTCTGTGCAGTTAACTACTACACCTACTGATTAGAAAGTGTGCAGATTTCCCTCCACAGGCGACTGTTCAGTGTTTTTATAGAAGGAAACAACAGCACTGACCATTTAATCGCTGCCTTCATTGTCTGTGCTGAGCCGACGTGTAGTTGGCATTCAAAGGAGGGGCAGGTTGTAGAAGTAAGCTTTCAGAAGGGTTTGTGGTTATGATGATGTACAGCGGATAACAAAATTATTTGTTCATTGTGCAATGACCATTCATTCGTTAATTCATACCTTCTTTGCACTTTTTATCCACTTTAAAGTTTATTGTGTTGTTTTGTTGTGTTTAGTGCTGAAAGGGGACAGTTTTCTAATTTCACTGTATTTTTGTACAAAGTGTGACTGTGCGATGACAATAAGAGTTATCTTATCTTAAAATCAAGAGAACAAAGAAGTTCTGTAAAAACGTGTAAACAAACAAACAAAATTAAAAATGACTGAATTCATGTTTTTGTACCTAAACCTGAGCCGGAACTCAGACATAACATTCGACCACCATAAAAAAGTTTTTATGAATGCAAGCAAATAAATGTAATTTGGAATCTTGATTCAAAAATAATATTGTGCTTTACACTTTTATTCTTTGTTTTTGGTAAGACAGTAAATTTAAAAAAAATGCATGGATAACAGCAAAAATTATTTATTAGCATTAAAAATGAACGTTTTATGAGCACTGGGTGCTTCTGCTTGTACACATTGGTGACTTAACCATTACAGAAACATAAAAAGTGAATTTGATCATTATAAATACTGTTCATTTAGGGTGGCATAAACCTTACACTGGCCGGTGGTCTGATAAATTTGTGAAGCACTGTTCCTGCAAAAATAGACGTAATGCAGAAAAATAAGGCGGCGCTTCTCCACCTACGACTTGTGGGGGTCTTTACATGCCACCAAGTGCAGTAACCTACAGCTCTTATGATTGGACAGTGACTATACACTTGTGTGTTTTGTTTGTTTTTCAACTCAGGGGAGCTAGAGATGCGTTTTTGTAAATTCTTGTGTTTAAATATGGTTAAAAATGTCATTACAACATTAACAGAATGTAAAAGAAAAGCATGTGCTGTTATGTAATACCAGTTTGTACCACAAGATGGAGCAGTGAGTCAGTCTAATGAATGCAGCGCTCCCCAATCTCTGGGCCACCGACTGGAGAGTTGAGGCTCAGGTGTGAAATTTATGGTTTTCATCGTTTTTATGGTAACTCTGTTTCTCTGGGTCTTTTCCCATGTGTTATGTATAAATCCTCTTTTTTTCTTTTTTTTGGTAATGGTACTGCTTTTATTTTGTTGTATTTATCCGCGACACCTTAAAGGCTGGTCTGTGGCACAGAAAAGGTTGGGGACTGCTGCTGTAATATTTATTTAAGCAGCACATTCTTCTCAATGGGAGCACCTAACACAGAAACATTGAACTTAAACAGAACAGCACAACAGGTTAAAGTTGTAGTTAAAATTAGCAGATTATAAGTATCTTTAAAGAAGTGGCTTGATGCTCGGTCACTCTGTGTGTGTGCGTTTGTGTGTTTTTCAGCGCACAAACGAGCCCATCAGCACATTCATGATCCAGATCGCCGTGCTGGCCAACCACCAGAACGGGAGAGACACGCACATGAGGCAGATCAAAGTTTACACACCCGTGGAGGAGAGCTCGATCGGCAAGTTCCCACGATGCACCACGGTCGACTTTATGATGTACCGGACCATCAGGTGATCTGGACGTGACCCAGGAACCCCAACAGACTTATATCTGGAGCTGCTGCAGATCATTATCAATGAGAGGAACATCAGTGAAGCTGCCAGTGTTGAATATTTAAAGATGTTCAGTCAGAGTCATAGACCCAGTCAGTGTTGGTTTACATGCTTTAACAATGAGTTTCCACACAGAGTGAATGCTTTGATATGAATTTGGTTCCTAAATTTAACCTTTTTGTCTCTCGCAGTATAAAAAAATGTTTGTGCCTACACATTGTTTCCTGTTGTGGATTGTTAATAAAAAGGTAAAAAATAAATGTTTCAAAAATCCAGAATGTGACTGTGTTCGTGTAGAAAACTAACTTTATTCTGTAGCTGTGCTCAGTCTTATGCTTCTTGGTTTAGTCACAGATGTTGTTGCTTTACTTGAAGAAAATGAGGTTTGAAAACAGTAATACGTTGATGATGCAGGAAAATGTTCTATTCTGCTGATGTTGGACCTCACGTCGGCCTTTGATATGGTTGACCACCACTTTTCTGTAGCGGTTTCTAAGTGCAGGTCATCCTTCACTTCCCTTACCTATGGTGTGCCACAAGGTTCTGTATTGGGACCCTTATTGTTTCTAATATATCTACTTCCTTTTCAGCATATTTTGAGCCCCTTTGAGTAGGGCTGTGCGATATGACCAAAATCTCATATCCCGATATAAGAATTCTATCGATAACGATATAAATCACAAAAACATTTTCTGTAAATTATGTGAATCTCGGGCAGCTCGACTTGCGGAAAGTGTTTCCAGCTGCGCGTCGCGTACCTGGAGTCCAGTGTTTTAACCGATGCATGAAATTATACATTTTTAGACATAAGTTGTAACGGCCGCCGTTTTCTTTGTGAGTATTTATTACACAGCGTGCTGCGGGGAAAAGCCTGTTCTAACGTTTGAGTCTAAGGTTTATTTTTTAGCACCTGGCGGCTCTTTTTTTACTTCTCATCTGTAAATAATCTGCTCTTTCACGTGATTCAGTTTATTTTGAAAAGTCTGAACAGGATCTTGGGCTTTATTGTGAAAGGTTTATGTGGTACATAAACAAGCGGACACGCGATGCTGTTACTGTCATTGTTGCTACTACAACGCATAAAAACAGGCGCTTGTCCGTCTGTAGTGTGGTTATATTAAATATAAGAGAAAGAGAGAACGTTAAGAAATTAATATAGCCACTACAGTGACCATCAAAACGGTGAAAAAATATTGCCGTAAACAGTTTATTTTACGACGCCACGAAACAAATGATAGCGTAAACTGAAACGATAGCTGTTTTTATATCGTCATCTGATATATATCGTTATATCGAACAGCCCTACAGTAATGCGTTGTGCTGGCAGACATGCACTTACGATGATGAAAGCTCTAGGTCCCCTTTCGACATTTGTGAAATCGTCTATCAGGAACCTTGGGGTAACTTTTGACTTTCCTCTTACTTTGGATGTTCAAATCTCTGGTTCCGTCTTTCTTTTATCACTTATCACTGCTACATTAAGTCCTGTAGTGTCACACACTGAACTGGAGGTGGTTATACATGCATTTGTTTCATCATGTTTGGACTATTGTAACTCACTGTTTATATGTCTAAACAAAAACTCCTTGGAACAAAACTCTGCAGCAAGGCATAAACTTAAAATCTCAGTTTTTTATTGTCACATAAGTGGTTGCCTGATTCACATGTTGCTGCAGTTTGTAGTCACAGTAGTTGCTCTAGCTTCACTTTTACTAGCTCTTGCTGCAGTTTAGCTGCCTAACTTTCCATCTGTAGTTTCAGATGTTAAGTAGTATCAGTGTTTGATTAAGTTGTGGAAGTTTCCATAACTAGCACCAGATGGCGATGTAGCTTGGGTATTTCATTTAGTTGCACCAGTTTCAGCTGCTGGTATAATTTATTTGTATCAGTTACTCAAGTTTCAGTCATTTCAGTTTCACTAACTTGACAATGTTGGTGTTGTTAGTTGCAGGCATGGTGTCAATGGTTGCTTCATTGCAGTGGTACTTTCACCCGTAAGCGTAGGTGCAAATCTTGAGATACTTGCCATGTTTAGTTTTAGCCATTACAGTTTTATAATTCCTGTAGTTTCAGAGGCTGACTCATTTGCAGGAGTTGCAGTTATACATATTGCTGTGGTCTCATTGGGTGCTGAATATATATTTATTTGCAAGTGTTGTTTGCATTTGCTGATTATGTATTTACAGATTTTTAACTGACTAGGAGGTAACGGATAAAAATGCAAACTACAAACAGACCTATGATGTTTAAAGTTACTAAACAGTGTCTACTTCAAACTGTTCTTCCTGGTAAAAGCTAAAGTCTGTTAACTCCTCCCTCTTCTACCTGAAGCACAGCAGCTCCAGTCTGTCCACATATTTTCTGGAATAGTTTCACCACTATGTAACAGAAACTCACACAGTCACTGACACTGAGAGGAGAAATGGCACAGAAAAGAGATCAGCTAGATCGAGAAATGTTCTCTTGTTGGATCTGTTTGGATCTACTGAAGGATACTGTGACTATTCCCTGTGGACACAGTTACTGTATGAACTGTATCGAAACCCACTTTGATGAAGAGGACAGGAAGGGAATCCACAGCTGCCCTCAGTGCAGGAAGACTTTCACACTGAGGCCTGACCTGGAGAAAAACACCATGTTAGCAGAGTTGATGGAGTTACTGAAGAAGACTGGACTCCAAGCTGCTCCAGCTGATCACTGCTATGCTGGACCTGAAGATGTGGCCTGTGATGTCTGCACTGGGAGGAAACTGAAAGCCATCAAGTCCTGTTTATCTTGTCCAGCCTCTTACTGTGTGAGACACCTTCAACCTCACTATGATGCAGCTCCATTAAAGAAACACAAGCTGGTGGCCCCCTCCAAGAAGCTCCAGGAGAACATCTGCTCTCATCATAAAGGCCATGAAACAGTCCCAGCTGCAGCAGAAAGGACTGAGAAGCAGAAGGAGCTCGAGGTGAGACGACTAAACATCCAGCAGAGAATTCAGGAGCGAGAGAAAGATGTGAAGCTGCTTCAACAGGAGGTGGAGGCCATCAATGGCTCTGCTGATAAAGCAGTGGAGGACAGTGAGAAGATGTTCACTGAGCTGATCCGTCTCCTCCAGAAAAGAAGCTCTGATGTGAAGCAGCAGGTCAGATCCCAGCAGGAAACTGAAGTGAGTCGAGTCAAAGAGCTTCAGGAGAAGCTGGAGCAGGAGATCGCTGAGCTGAAGAGGAAAGACGGCGAGCTGGAGCAGCTCTCACACACAGAGGATCACAACCAGTTTCTACACAACTACCCCTCACTGTCAGCACTCAGTGAGTCTACACACTCATCCAGCATCAATATTCGTCCTCTGAGCTACTTTGAGGATGTGACAGCAGCTGTGTCAGAGACCAGAGATAAACTACAGGACATTCTGAGAGAGGAATGGACAAACATCTCACTGACAGTCACTGAAGAGGATGTTTTACTGTCACCAGCAGAGCCAAAGACCAGAGCTGGATTCTTAAAATATTCACAAGAAATCACACTGGATCCAAACACAGCACACAGAGAATTGTTATTATCTGAAGGGAACAGAAAAGTGACATTAATGAGACAAAAACAGACTTACTCTAATCATCCAGACAGATTCACTGATTATTATCAAGTCCTGAGTAGAGAGAGTCTGACTGGACGTTGTTACTGGGAGGTGGAGTGGAGAGGGGGTGGAGTTGATGCAGCAGTCGCATACAAGACTATCAGCAGAGCAGGAGAGTCAGATGAATGTGGATTTGGATTTAATGATAACTCTTGGTTATTGAGCTGTGACAGAAAAAGTTGCAAATTTTTGCACAAGAAAGTCCAAACTGTCCTCTCAGGTCCTCGGTCCTCCAGAGTAGGAGTGTACCTGGATCACAGAGCAGGTATTCTGTCTTTCTACAGCGTCTCTGAAACCATGACTCTCCTCCACAGAGTCCAGACCACATTCACTCAGCCGCTCTATGCTGGACTTTGTCTTTTTATTGATCATGGAGACACTGCAGAGATATTAAACTGAAATAGACAGAAGTCACTGAGGGACAGCTAGTTCCTGTTTCTTTGGTCTCCAGCATTGCTGTCAACAGTGATGGAGATTTTGAAAAGCGGTCAGAGTGGCACCAGAAAGTTCTTTGAAAGTAAATTCTGCTAGACCAAAAACAATTTCTAATTAGCTTGTATGAAGAAGATCATAAAATCTAATAAAAATGAACAAACGTTAATGAACTTCCGTTTTTATATCAAGAAGACACTAGTATTATAAATGTAATTGTTTTATTATGAATAGTATTGTCTAAGCTCACAGATCAAATGTTACACTTTGAATAAGACTTTTAATTTCAGTCCTTCCAGTACACAAAATCACACGTATTCTACTAGAGAAGATGTGGATTTTATAGACACTCAATCTGAAGACTTGCTTAATGTAAACCCTCCTGTGTGAAGTTTGTTACATGTTTGAACTGATACATGCTGATTTTCTTTTTTGTTGTTGTTGATTTTTGTGTTTTAACACAGAGGAGTTATTTGGTTATTTGAAGAAATATTGAAATGAAAATCTTGATTTGAATCATCTGCTGCTGTGGCATATGTAACTCATTACTGGTATTTTTTTTTATATCAGGTGTGGCTATAACTTAGACTTTCTGCTGGTCTGTTTTCTGACCTTAATCATGTTAGATAGTGTTTTCCAAAGCGATTCATGATGATAAAAAAAAAAATTTAAAAAAGTAAAATAAATGTACATGTCCAAACGGTTCTCATGTTCTCTCCTGTTTCTGAACGCATAACATAGAGACGTGTTGAGTGGCCGAAAGCGTAACATACCAACAAGTTGTCTCGTAGCGTAGTATGTTACGTTTTGGGATGAGAACATGTTGGAAAAACCAGCAGAAGGCACAATGCAGTGTTTCTGACATGTGATTGGATGAGCAGCCTACAGCCCGCCTCCAAAGTCTCCCAGTGATTATGCAGATGAGGAAACTGATGTGTTTGCCAGAGAGTACAAAGGTGTTCAACCATGAACTTAGCACAACAAGTGAAACACACACACATACACTCTAAACCCTGATCTGACTCATGCAGATGATTCAGTATCTTTCTGTGCCCTTCCTGTTTAGCTGCTTTTGGACGAATCCTGATTCTCTTTCTCTGCTTTGGTTAAGCAAACAGGTTTGATTCGTTGGTCATGAGTGACGTGTTTAGCAAAAAACAAACAAACAAAAATATGTTGTTGGAGACTGTCTCTCATTTACAAATTTCCTCTGGCTGCAGAAGTTGAAGAAGAGACTGTCACTGCGTGCTTGTATGATTTTTTTTTTTTTTTGCCACACGACTGTTAAATCCAGGACTTTTAAGGTTACAGTAGTTGCTGTATCTTATCATAGATAGATTTGTTTGGTTGTAGTTAAAGTGTCAGTAGTAGCAGATGTTACTATATTTGAAATTATTAACTTAAATTCAAATATAGTAACAAAGTATATGTGGGGCCTCCCTGCTGCTGCGGAGTCGGGGCGGTCTGCTCCTGCTCCGCGGCTGCTGAGCGACCCCTCATCTGGGGCTCTCTTCAGCTCTTTCCGGGAGAGTGGCACGGTTTCCCCTCCATTGGTCTTCTAGCAGATCATTACATGAAGGAACCTTTTAAATACAAGCGCGCTCATGCTCACAGGTGCACACACGGGTGCTCACACATACAAACGACACCCTTTTTGGCTCCTACCTCAAAGCACACCGTGGGCTGTCAATCCTACTTACTGCACAGTAATATTCAATATTTAGTATTTACTGTTATATTCACATTGTTTTTTGCCCTTTATCACCGTTCCTCTTCCCTGCTGTTTTTCTTTCCCTCTTTCTTTCTCCCTTTTCTTTTCCCCAGTCAAGTCCATTGGGCATCTTTCTTTGCCTTTAGACAATAATTCTGATGGCAAAAGAACCAAACGGGACAGGCAAAAAAAGAAAAAAAGAAAGAAATTATTAACTTAGTTGCAGAAGTTGCTGTGGTTTTAGGCTTGTTTAGTTACAATCACTCTTTGCTGCTGGTGTGGCTGTAGTTTTAGTTTTAAATTTAGTTGCAATAGTTTTTGTGTCATATAGCAGATGTTGTTATACTTGGAGTAGCAGAGTTGCAGACATTGCCATGACTAATAGCAGATATTGCTGTGGTCTCCTTCATTCATTTGTTACAGAATTATCCATGCTTTCCTGTTATATTTTCAGCCACTGATTTAATTCCTGAAGTCACCATGCTTTCCTGCAGATGATACTGTAGTTTCAGTCATTCATTACAGGAGATGTTGTAGTCTGAGGTTTGTTTAGTTGCAAAAGTAGACAATACTTATAGCAGCTATTGTTTCATTGATCCATTAAGTTACAGAATTCTTCATTGTTTTCTGCTGATGTTCTTATAGTTTTAGTCACTGGTTGAGTTGCAGAAGTAGCCATTCTGCAGATGTTGTGGTATCTGTCTGTCCGTCCTTCCTTCCTTCCTTCCTTCCTTCCTTCCTTCCTTCCTCTTCCGCTTATCCAGGCCTAAACAGAGAAACCCAGACCTCCTTCTCCCTAACCACCTGCTCCAACTTGTCCAGGGGGACACCAAGGCGTTCCCAGGCCAGCTGAGAGATATAATCTCTCCAGTGTGTCCTGGGTGTGCCCCAGGGCCTCCTCCCGGTAGGTCATGCTGGGAACACCTCACCCAGGAGGCATCCTTGTCAGATACCCAAACCACCTCAACTGGCTCCTTTTGATGCGGAGGAGCAGCGGCTCTACTCTGAGCCCTTCCCGGATGGCCTCATGCAGGATGGCTTCACCCTCTCTCTAAGGGAGTGGCCAGCCACCTTCAGAGGAAGCCCCACGTGATCTTGTTTATTCAGTCACTACCCACAGCTCGTGACCATAGGTGAGGGTATGGGTGTAGATTGACCGGTTAATGGAGAGCTTCACTTTTACACTCAGCTCTCTCTTGACCGCAACAGACCAGTATGCGTCCGCATCACTTCAGCCACAGCACCAATCTGTCTGTCGATCACCCACTCCCATCTTCCATCACTCGTGAACAAGACCCCAAGATACTTAAACTCCTCCACTTGGGGCATGAACTTGTCCTTCATCCGGAGGGGACACTACAGCCAAATCTGGCTGACAACCACGGCCTCAGATTTGGAGGTGCTGATTCTCATTCCCCCCATTTTACACTCGGGTACAACTGTTCCAGTGCAAGCTGGAGGCCATCACCTGTTGAACCCATCAAAACCATATCTTCTGCGAAAAGCAGAGATGAGATTCTGAGACCACCCAAAGTCAAAGCCTTCAGCCACTTGGCTACTGTGGAGTTCTTTTTTGCTAAGAAAAGTTCAAGAGACAATCTAGACAATCTAGCAGTTCACATTATTTTATTATCAGGCAGTTAAAGATTTGGCTTGCAAAGCTGTGGACTTCTCTATGTCAGGCAGTCTGTGCATGGAAAACTCCCAGACAGTTCATAATTCAAAGTAAATATTGGACACATGGAAACAGGTAATATTTGTGATTGGCTATTAATGGGGAGATGCCATGGTTTAGACTTAGCACTCCCTGATTTGTTCTCCCATGGGTCCTTCCGCATGGTAATGGTCAACGACAAAACACCACTGGGGTTCAGATCAGGGAGGCTCCAAGAAGGGACTCCAAGAATGCGTCGTTCGGCGCATAATGGCAAACGGCAGTCAGGACTAATTCCCCCAATGGAGGGAAAAAACCCTCTTGTCCACTGGGAAAAACCCCAACCTACAGGCAGCAAGCCAAGGGGATACTAGGATACCCACCCCAGCCTGTCGTCTCTCACCAAGGGCAACTCCAGACAGAGACAGAGTCCAGCCCCTCTCCAGGAGTGCTGGTTCCAGCAGAGATGAGATTCTGAGATCTGAGACCAGAACAGTTCCCTTGATCATGTACTCATAAGAGTCTTTTGAATCGCTCTTTGTTTGATCCCTCACCCGGGACCAATTTGCCATGGGAGACCATACCAGGGGGCAAATGCCCCTGGACAGCATAGCCTCTGACATCCCTAGGACACAAAAACCCCTCAAGCCACTATAAGGTAGCGATTCACAGAGGGGTATTGGGGTTTCAGTTCTTTATTTAGTCGTCATATCTTCTACCAGATGCTGGTTTGGTTTCATCTGCCAATTTGGTTGCAAAACTTGCCGTGCACAGTAGCAGTTGTTAGTGTATTTTTAGGCTTTCATTTTGTTGCAGTAGTTGCCACATCTTCTAGCAGACATTGTTGTAGTTGCAGTAGTTGAAGGGTTAGTAGTAGTGGTGGATGTTGCTATTTTACAGTCATTTATTTAGTTGTAGAAGTTCCCATGCCATGTAGTGGATGTTGCTAAAGTTTCTTTCATTCATTTGTTGCAGAATTTTTAATACTTTTCTGCAGTTGCATACAATAATATCAGCAGAGCAGGGAGCTTAAATGAATGTGTATTTGGATACAATGACATATCTTGGTCATTCCATTGTTACACAAACAGTTATATTTTTTGGCACAACAAAGTCTGAACTCTCCTCTCAGGTCCTCGGTCTTCCAGAGTAGGAGTGTACCTGGATCACAGAGCAGGTATTCTGTCTTTCTACAGTGTCTCTGAAACCATGACTCTCCTCCACAGAGTTCAGACCACATTAACTCAGCCGCTCTATGCTGGACTTGGTCTTTATGAAAATGGAGATACTGCAGAGTTTATTAAAGTGAAATAGAAGTTTTAGCTTCTAGTTTTTTTGTTTTTTTCTTGTCTATCTTTGAAGGCAAATGAGGAGCTGGGAGCGTGGCTCATTAAGGTGGATAAGTCCGGCCTGCCTGGAAGATTTAAAGCCTGGATCTACCAGCATTCCATCCTGCCCCGAATCCTGTGGCCCTTCCTTGTCTATACAGTTCCAATAACTACTGTGGAATCCCTTGAAAGAAAGATCAGTGGCTTTCTTCGTAAGTGGCTGGGACTTCCCCGCAGTCTCACCAGCGCTGCCTTGTATGGGGCAAGTAACAGCGTGCAGTTACCCTTCAGTGGTCTCACAGAAGAGTTCAAGGTGGCTCGCACGCGAGAAGCCCTACAGTACAGAGATTCTAAAGACTGCAAGGTGGCATCAGCAGGTATTGAGGTAAGGACAGGAAGAAAGTGGAAGGCTGAGAAGGCAGTTGAGGTGGCGGAGTCACGCCTAAGGCAGAAAACACTGATGGGGGTCTTAGCAATAGGGGGAGCAGGCTTGGGGTACGTCCCAAAGGCCCAGGTCAGCAGGGCACAGGGAAAGGAGAGACACCAGCTACTCCAGGAAGAGGTCCGAGCAGGTGTGGAGGAGGAGCGAGTAAGTAGAGCTGTAGGCCTTAAGCGGCAGGGAGCATGGACAAGGTGGGAGAGCACCTTGCAGCGCAAGGTCACCTGGGCAAACATCATGCAGGCAGACTTCCATCGGATCTGATTCCTAGTGCAGGCAGTATACGACACTCTGCCAAGCCCAGCAAACCTCCATCTGTGGGGAAAGAGCGAGACACCTGCCTGTCCCCTGTGCTCTGGAAGAGGGACCCTAGAACACCTCCTTAGCAGCTGCCCAAGGGCCCTGGCTGATGGTCGGTATCGTTGGCGGCACGACCAGGTGCTCAGAGTAGTTGCTGAAAAGATTGCCTCAGCAATCAGCACCAGCAAGCATCATCAGGCTCCGAGGAAGGCAATCTCTTTTATTAAGAATGGAGAGAAACCCCAGGTGCGCCCACATTTGACAACTGGCCTCCTCAACACAGCCTCTGATTGGCAGCTACAGGCTGACCTGGGTAAACAACTAAAGTTCCCTCAGAACACTGCAAAAACATCACTCCGGCCAGACATGATAATTATTTCTGAGGCCTCAAAACAGCTGATCATGCTGGAACTCACAGTGCCCTGGGAAGAGCGGATTGAGGAGGCCAATGAAAAGAAACGAGGAAAGTACCAGGAGCTAGTGCAGGAGTGCAGGGGAAGGGGCTGGAAGACTTTCTATGAGCCCATAGAAGTGGGTTGTAGGGGCTTTGCAGGACGATCACTCTGCAAAGTCCTAGGCTGGCTGGGCGTGGCTGGGGCAGCCAAGAAGAGGGCCATCCAGGCTGTGAGTGAAGCGGCAGAGAAAGCCACAAGGTGGCTGTGGATCAAGAGGGCTGATCCGTGGGTAGCTACTGGTACGCAAGTCGGGGCCTGATCACCCCCGGCTGGGTCGCCTGGGCGAGGGTGTATGATGTTGTGAGACCCGAAACACCTGATGACCCTAGGATACATCACTGAAGATGCGTACCAGTGCATCCAGGAGATGTGTCTTTATAGTGCTGTTGAGAGCTCACTGTTGTGCTGTTTCTTCTCTGCTCAGAATCACTTTATAGTTGCTAGTCTGACATCTTATGATTAATTGTTTGTAGTTACCTGTAAATTCACTTGAAATTGTATTCAAATCAACAGTGCACTCTTTCTCTGTTGTGGCAGAAATATTCAACCGCTTTGGAAAGAAATCAGAATGGCATATGAGAAATGTATTTCAAAACAGTTTCCACTAGACTCCAAAGTAAGTAGAGGAAATAATTATCATGAACATAATCAAGCAATAATTCAACAGTTTTAGGGCCTCAAGTTTTTTCATTGCTTAAATGACAATAACACTGGGAACTTTATTAATTTTTATTTCTTAAAGATTTGGATTTTATAGGGGGCCAGTCTTATGTAGTTGAACAAAGTATATCAGTTCATATCAGTTATTAAGGAAATTAGAGAGATATGGAATAAGATGTGTAGCCTATTCCTGGTTGGAAAATGGACAACAATGTGTGCAAATTAATAAAACTGCATCTAAAAGGGTCAATGTGGGGTAACTCAAGGATCTGTGACTGATCCAAAACTCTTTGTACTTTTCATTAATTATATTTGTAATATTACTAAATTGATTAAATATGTTGTTTATACAGATGATACAAATGTATTATCTTATGGAAAGAAAATTAAATGATCTCTTGTATGCAATTAAAAATGAGCTGGAAATTCTTAAGATGTGGTTTGATATCAATAAATTATCCCTTAATTATCAAGGAACCTGAATTCATGCTTTTAACAGGTAGAAAAGAATACGAAGAAGCTGTTCATTTAATATCCATCCATTCATTTTCTTCCGCTTATCCGGGGCTGGGTCGCGGGGGAAGCAGCCCAAGCAGAGAAGCCCAGACCTCCCTCTCCCTAGCCATCTCCTGCAGCTTGTCCGGGGGAACATCAAGGCGTTCCCAGGCCAGCCAATTTCATTTATGTAGCGCCAAATCACAATAACAGTCGCCTCAAAGTGCTTTATATTGTAAGGTAGACCTTACAGTAATACATACAGAGAAAAACCCAACAATCAAATGACCTCCTATGAGCAAGCACTTTTGCGACAGTAGGAAGGAAAAACTACCTTTTAAAAGAAAAAATATCATCATAATCCGGCTACCCCTTTGGAGCCAGCTGTGGGCTCAAGGCTGGAGCCGAACAAAAACTCCCTGATAACGACTGTGTTGAGTCTGTTCCTTCCCATTCCATGCAAGGCCACCTGGGTTTGCTGGAAGACTGTTTACTTAGCCTGGCAGGGCGAAGGACACTGTCTCAGCTGAATTATGGACATGCACACACATACATATACTGATACTGATAAGCACTCACTGACGCATCACCCTCCCTACCCTGGATCCAACGCCACCTCCAACGCTTACTTCCCCTCTGATGTGGACATCGGGTCAGCTGGAGGCGCAGTCGAAGATTGCAGCGGTCCCAGATCAGATGTACACACTGGAACTCTTTCCCATGTTGCTTGTCTGTGTTTATTGTGCTATGGTGTGTTGATATCTGTGCATTCCTGTATTATCCTTTTGTGTTACACATTTCGATGTTTTTTTCTTCTCTACCTAGCCTGACCTGTCTCCCCAATGTGATGTTTGTGTATTGTATGTACGGTCGGCAAGGTCTGTCATCTCGGTTGTGGGCAAAAGACCTGCAACTGACAAATAAAGGCTATCTCAAAAGGCATTCAATAGGGTCCCCCACAAGCTGATTTGGCGATCATTACGAAGTCATGGTGCCCCGGAAGCTTATGTGAAATGGACTCAGCTGCTCTACCGTAATGTCACAAGCGAGGTCCGATGTTCAGCGGGAACATCACCAGCCTTCCCGATTACCGTTGGCTAAGCCCTCTTGCCCCTGCTGTTAACTCTCTGTGTGGACACCGCAACGGCTGATCTAAAATCACCACATCCATGGAGCCTCCTGTATGCAGATGATGTGTGCCTATCAGAAACAGAAAACTGCCTAGCCCTGCAAACCCAAACACAAGCATGGAAAGATCGGCTCTCCAAAAACGGCATGCGCCTGAACATCAAGAAGACTGAGTACCTTGAATGCGGCCCCCAGACCAACAGTACCATCACTATCGACGGCGAGCCGCTGACTAAAGTTGCCCAATTCAAGTACCTCGGGTCCCTTGTCACCTCAGACTGAGAAACTCTACCAGACACCAGACTCCGTGTCAACACAGCGTGGAGGAAGTGGCATCAGGTGAGTGGAGTCTTATGTGACAAGAGAATGCCAATCTATCTTAAGGCGAAAGTCTATAAGTCGATTGTGCGCCCAGTGGCACTCTACGGGTCAGAGTGCTGGCCAGCGATGACCAAACACGAACAAGCTCTTCACACCATGGAGATGAAGATGCTGAGGTGGCCTCTGGGTCTCACACGACTTGACCGAGCGAGGAACGAAGATGTCAGGAAACAATGGGGAGTGACACCGATCACAGACAAGATGCGAGAGGCGAGGCTCCGATGGTACGGCCATGTTGTCCGTAGCGATAAAAATTCCATCGCAAAGACAGCACAGCAATTGGATTTGGATGGAAACAGGCCAAAAGGAAGACCAAAAAAGCGCTGGATGGACCGAATCAAGGATGATATGAATGCTGTGAATGTTACACCAGAAGACGCCCTTGATAGGAAGAAGTGGAGGAAGGCATGCAAGATAGCGGACCCTGGGGATATAAATATCGCGGGATATAAACCACTAGGAAGAAGAAGATATTCATATTCATCTTCATATTATTGTTGTTATTATTATTAACTGAACATGTACGCTGGTCTTTCTATCGCTGTGAGGACTGTTAACCTGGACATAACGAGCCGTGAACCTGCCCCACTCCTCTAACTCCAGAAAACAGGTTGGATGCACAGAATAACATGAAAGTTCAAAGAACCAGTTTATTTGTTGTTGGACCTGAGCAGAGCCCAGAACATCAAGCAGATTCTCATCATCATTGTTGGGTCTGCGCTTCAGCAGGCCCGCTAGTTCAGACTTATTCCCGTGAACAAAGCAAGACAACAACTTAACCGGCTTTTATATGCTAGCAAGGGGAGGATCTCAGAGCAGCCCCTCTGCCCTCGGTCTCAGACCACTCCAAAGAACCAGCACCCCCTGCAACTTTTCTTCTCTGACACATAGTTTACACAAACACCCATTGTAACCCCCCGTCCTACGGAGCGTCATAAAACTAAGTGTGTGTGTGTGTGTGTGTGCGCATGTGGGTGTTTCTGTGTGACTTCCTGCCGATCACAAAGGGTCACAATTTCAACCTAACAATCACCACTGCTCTTCCATATCAACAGTGATGTGGTTAGACCAGTGGTTCTCAAACTTTTTAGATCACTCCCCACATGGTAGGAAGAAACCTATGCAGGGATCTCAAAGAGCAAAACTGCTGTCAGCTCTGTGTAGCCACACCTACTTGGGACCCACTCTGTAAAAGTGTGTGTTTGCTCTGCCCACATAGCCTCATATGTAGCCAGAGCTGAACATGGTGAGTCACCTTTAGTGTGTAAATGTATGCAGTTCAAAGGTTACAGAGAGTGCACTTAGTCTTAACATAGATACATTCATATATTTAGACTTTTTTTATTCTACGCACTTGTGATGATCACATAATCTTCTGCAGCATTACTGCCTTATCAAATTAGAATCATTCATTCATTTGACTGTTTCTTTATAGATCTCAAACATTCCTATGATATTGTCTCTGAAGGGAATTGGTGGAAAAAGTGGTGGCTGTTAAAACAGATCATAGTCCTGCACAATAGAAAAAAAATAATCAGAGGAAAGCTGCTGCTGTTCGCCTGCTCAGTCTTGCCACAATTAGGTTTCCTAATGAGGTGTGTGTGTGTATATATATATGTGTGTATATATATATATATATATATGTGTGTGTATATATATATATATTAGGGGTGCAACGATACACAAAATTCACGGTTCGGTTCGGTTCGATACTTTGGTGTCACGGTTCGATATTTTTTCGATACAAAAAAAATGTTCATGCCTTTTTAATTTGTCATTTATTAAAATTATAAATATATATTTTAACTCAAAAGTACAGTTTTTAAATTTAACCCTAACCCTTGTGCGTTTTTTATTTTGACAGCGAATGCGCACCTGCGGACCACTTATGTGCAGCCCTGGTTATTTAGCTCGTCATATTGCAGCCACAGAAATTCTTTTGTCCATGAAACCATAAAGCTGCACTTTCTTTTTGCCTTATAGTCTGATTTGTCATAACTTCTCCGTTTTGTGGTAAGCTTTTCTTTGGCTGTCACTTCTTCACCCTGACCTGTCTTATTTGGCTCAGCAGAACTGATATATCCTGCTTTTACACACGCGACTCACATAAGCTCAGCGATTCTCTGCGCGATCAACCTCTCACATGTTTAAGCTTGCTGCGGGAGATTTCACTTGTCATGTTTGCATAGTAAGCTAACGATTAATAAGACGATGTCAGAGGAATTGGTGCACAAATTATCATCACTCACAGATCAGTGCTGTCGCTCTCTATACACAGTTCGCCGATTGCAAAGTGAAAGCAAAAAACAAGCGCAAATTCAAACGCGATTTCAATATGTCACATATTGACAGTGGCTCACCGATGCCAATGACATAATTACCCAGCTACATTTCTGAAAGAATGCAAAAGCATTGACATATATTTTTCCTTCCTACAATAGCCCGACGGGCAGGTATGAAAATCGCTAGCCCCAGGACGTCGGGCTAGCGATTTTGCGAGCCCTGTATCTGATTGAGGAATCACTCATCTTTGGAAAAGAGAGTTTATTACAGAGAAATGTCTCTTTCCAAAATAAAAGCTATACTATCCGCTTCTTCTGGGCTATATTCTCAGCAGCATAAGGAGAATCATGTGCTAACAGCTGTCTAAATGACTCGGCTAAAGTTAGTAGCATGCTTGTTGTTTTTGTCTTTGCACTAGGATGATGTCGGCGTAAATGTGCAGTCATATTCGTTGTGTTCCCACTAGTGCTTTCAGGTTAATCTCGTTGAAATGACCTTAACGCCACAACACGGCAAATCTCCGTTAACGAGCTACCGCCGATCGCCCCGTGCATGGGGCTAGACGGCCAACACGTTAACGAGCTAACTGCGCTAACACACTAGTTCCCACCCATGTAATTGAGCATTGCGTGGCACATCCAACATACTGTTTTACTTTAGTCCATGACTCGCTTACCTTCAGGGTCATACGTCACATGAAAACCAAAATAATTCCAAACGCCAGATCTGAATGAGGTTAGGATGCGTCTGTTGCAAGCAGAGCTTAACTTCTGTCCTCGCTAGCTTGCCCTGCGCTCTTCCTTCTGACTATGCTGTCTGTGTTGAGCGCTCAGTGGATCTGCGCTCGACAGTGCAGCCTAGGCGGAGTAGTCGAACCAGATTCACTGAGCGCTCAACACAGACAGCATCGTCAGAAGGAAAATTGATAAAATAAATTACAAATGTTGTATTGTTCGATACATATGCGTACCGAACCGAAAGCACTGTATCGAACGGTTCAATATCGATACGAATATCGTTGCACCCCTATATATTAAATATATACTATTATATATAATGTGTATATATATTATATGATGTGTGTATATATATATGTATGATTTATGATTTATGTATGTGTGTATATATATATGGTATGATATATATATGTAATATGTATAATAATGTGTATATCATTATAACCTCTCTTACCTTCC